CGAGTTTTGGGTCGTGAAGTGTAGAGTCGCCGTTCACGCCCCTTTTATAGGCGAAGCACGGCGTTCACGGACGCGTTGTCAAGCTTCACCTCAAGTGGAGCACTTGCTCCCACACTTTCTTACTCCTCTTTCATTGCTTCTCTTCCCACTTCTTGTCAATCCCCAATCATATCATTTGAGGGCCATATCTTCTGGCAACTTGGTCACTTGCAGTGGGGTCATGTTCATTAACCTCCCTTTACAAAGAGAGTCAATAAGGATCTTGTCTTCATGTATAAGTCCACCGTAGAAAGTTTCTATCCGAAATTGTTCTTCGAACCCATGGTGAGGGCATTGAAGAAAATATTCGGAGAATCTCTCCCAAGCATCCCTCATGGTTTCATCTTCATCTTGCTCGAAATGGGTGATCTTCTTTCTCCACTCGGCCATCTTCGAAGGCGGGCAATAGCGGGTCATGAATTTGTTGAGAAGATCATCTCACGAGGTAATTGAGCGAGGGGGGCGGTTGTTGAGCCATCGAAGTGCCTTCCCCGAAAGTAAGGAGGGGAAAAGCCTTAATTGCAAAGCTTCCCCCCGGCACGCCATTTATCTTCAAACTCCCGCGAGCTCAATGAATCTTTGCACATGATCCCTCGGTGATTCACTTGTGTGTTCGTGGAGCAAAGCATTGTTCTGAATCATTGTCACGAGGGTCGGCTTGATTTTGAAGTTGTTGACCGCCACGGGTGGGTGTAAGATAGGCGATTGAATGTCCGTTAGCCTTGGGGCCATGTAATACCCCATTGTCCTCGGGGCTTCCTCCTCTGCCGCCTCACCATTGTGGTGGTGAGCTTGGGCGGCTTCTCCTTGTCTTTGGTTCTCTGCCATCTCAACTCCAATATAAACATCTCCTTCAACTTCTACTCCCACTAACTCCGGGACACAATTGTTGTCCCCTTTCTTCACTTCTCCTCCTTGCTTTCGCTAACTCCCTCTCTCAAGCTAGGAGTCAGAGAGTCCTGCTGATGTTCTCGTCAAGCGGTACTAAAGGCGCCGGATTGCTCAGGGTCATGCACCTCCATGCACACACTTAGAGAACAACACAACGTCTAGCACAAGCAAAGCACTCAAACAAACAAAGTTGAAAATTAAAGCTAGATTAACACCTAACAACTTTTTCAAGATAACGGACCGAAGGTCCCCGACAACGTATGTTTAAATATCAACCCGGGCTAGTCTATGTACCCCTACTTCCATTGTTTGTAACATTATCTAGCGGATTGGTTTTTGATTTAAAACTATGAGATTTAAATCGAAACAAAGCGAAGGTATATGGTTTGAAAGCTCTAGATGAGAAGGATCACTCGGGTGTCACTTCCCCCTAACTACTACCATGGCACGTGGACTCGAATGGGACGTTATGTTCAAGACAATCATGAACCGCTAGGAGGTGAAACTATGGTCGAAGACCACACTCTCAATTGCCAAACCAAGGGATACATTATAGGCTACAAGAGTGGCCCTCTTAGTTAAGGCAATTAATGGTTGACTTACCTTCTCCCTCAAACCGATGGTTTGACGGCTTAATCATGATTAACCTAGTTGATTAATTCAAGATAGAGGTTTTCCCTATATTAACCTAGGTACGTAGGTGGCTTGTAAAGTCCAAGGAATCCCAACTCAATTGAGCCTCTTTTAGAAAGGGGGGTTTCCCCTCTAACCTATGTTAGAATGGCCAATTAGATTGCTAAGTACACACATGCACAATCTTCATGAAAAATACCTCAATCATTAAATTAAAAAACACCCATAAACAATCATTCGAGTCACACTACAACTGCATGTCAAATAGTTAGGGTTTCACAACACCCAAGTGAACAAGGGCACTACTCCATGCTATAAAGGGGAAGAATACAAGAGAAAGAAGTAGAAACCATCATGGTGATGCCTCTGATCTCCTTTAACCTTGTGTATCTTATCTTGCGGAGATTCTTCCCAATTCGCCACTTAGAGCAAACCCTAGCCTTATTTCTTCCTTGGTTCGTCCTTTCTCTTTTTAAAATATGAAGAAGAAGACACTTTCTCACTCTTGGGCTCTCCCTTTCTCTTCCTTTCAGCTCACATTTTATACTAGGATCGGGCTCTCCCTTTCTCTTCCTTTCATCGCCGTGAACTCCTCAACGCGTTCGTGACCTTGGAGCGTTGTGTCGAAACGCACCGCTTCACTCACGTGAGTTCATGGTTTGCACTCAAAGTTCACGGTCTTGTTGACCGTGAACTCGCCTTGCGTCAGTAACTTCAGAATTCGCCCTGGACGCTTCGCGGTTCACGATTTTGGGCTTCAGTTCACGGCCATAGGAGACCGTGAACTCCAATGGTAAACCGTGAACCTGGCTTGAATCACCCTCTTTTCCCCGGTCTTTGCCTCTTTTCGTCCAACTTTCGACTCTGGGGCTGGTTTCACCTGTTAGATCCTGAAACACACTGATACGGAAAAAACCTAGCGTAAAACCACCCTTTGAGGAGCCAAATGCCACAAAAGCCCAAGGGAAATGGGGATAAAATGTGTGCAATTAGGCCCGAATCATGTGGCGAGGTGGTTATAAACCGCAAGGAAGTCTAACAAGTAACCAAAGCTACCCTCTTAGTCTCTAGGTCGAGGAAAGGGATACGATCAAAGCCACTAATGCGACTCTCTCAACCTATTGACTAAGGATTGGCTAGACTTCACCCTCGAATCGGAGTTCAGACGACCACCCACAACCCAACCCTAGGTGCTAATACGAAATAGGAGGTTTGCCCTGCATTAACCTAACTATGAAACAATGAATTGCCAAAGAAAACCCAGCATTCAGACCTCTTTCAAAGAAAGGAAGGGGGTTTTCTCTCCACCTAGGTTAGAATGGCAATTAGATTGATAGGATTTCATACATTTTCCGGTTTTCCTCTTCGCCTAACCATATCTTTGGAATTGTAAGATAAACATTTGTATATTGATGCTATATAAGTGTGTAAATCTTCACTATATGTTGGATCCAAGTATGACATGTTATTTAATTTTAGTGTAATGTTATATGTTGTTAGTCATATGTTAGATGATCGAGATTTGATATAATTTATAAATGTATGACAATAAAATAACTCGAGCTAAAGCGGTCAGACTATTAACTCTCAACCCACTTGCTCGACCGGACTCACGGGCTTAACCAGGTTGACAATCTTGCAATCTACTAATGAATAGCCATTTAATTGTTCACTCTATCTAGTAGTTGCCTTACTCCCCCTACCAACTTGTTTAACAGCAATTGAGAAAAGTTAAAATTACTTTGTTATTAAAAGAAAATAACGGTTACCTCTAACAGGTTAGGCAAATCTCATATTTGCAAAGGATGAGATATTTATAGCTGATAAGAAATAATCTAAACTTAATTGATAAGATGCATTTAAGGGTAAAATAAATGAGTTAGTATAAGAACTGTTAAATTAAACGTGTTCAAAATGAGAGAGTATAAAGATGGATGACTTCTCTAAAAAATAAATTACTCCAAAAGCAAAATCGTGCGGAGTAGTTTGAAAGCGAAAAATATGAGAACATAGTTGATTGAGATTGTCACGCTAGCTTGGGTTGGGTACTTTTCACTCGGTTATCAATGAAAGGGCTAGTTGCTTTGTCCTGATGTTTTCAATGAAGGCAAACTAATTCATTCATATAAATGGATGATTTGATTTCGTCCACATGGAAAGCAATAATTGGGGGCGGTGTTGTGGGAAAGAGGGATGCTTTCTGAATCAACATTATTTATCTGACTATATGGATCCATTACAATCCCCAACATAATTGCTAGATAATGGCGCATTATACATATTGAACTGTCGCCCGATGGCAGCTGCTGTGTTGGGTGGGTTTTGCTCTCAAATTGACTCACTCGTTTACTAGTGGATTGGAATAATTGTGATCCGCAATCCACTTACATACTTCTGCGAGTTGGGTTGGGTGGGTGGCGGATGGGTGCGGTTGGGTTGCGGGTCAACCAGCAAAAACAATTCTCTAACTATCCATTAAGAAAGTTGACTAACATTTATAATAAGTTGATAGCAAATTAGTAAGATTGTATCAATAATTTGTGATTTTGATACAATTAATAATGTATAGTTTGGATCCCAATATTTAATGGTTATTAATAATAATCTGCATACCAATATCCAATATGTAATGGATATTGCACGACACAATGACCAATAATAGTAGTCAAAACTATTATTTATTCAACACCTTTTGAAATATATGGATAGACTGTAGTGCAGTTCGAAAATATGATGAATATTCGATACTATAAGAAACGACATTTTTCCATGTAAAAATAGGATGTGGGTCATATGGGTGACCCGCAATCCACCCACCACGCACCCACATAAGTGCGTGTGGGAGATTTATCAATCCGCAATCCACCCACATCAATCACCCACTCCGTGCAAATCGGGTAATTTGTGAGTGGATCGATATCAATCCACGGATTAACCGCCCACGTGCCCACCCCTACTGCCAGCCCCATAAATTGCGTCGAGCCTTTGATGATTACTAGTCGGCCCGATCGACAGCGAGAAGACCCTTTGATCATTACTGGTCTGGTCTGGGGCAACTCCAGTACTCTCTCTTTCGTTATCCATCAGCCAGCCAGTCTGAAAATGTTAGTGCCAAAAATGACTGCTACCTATCCATCTAGATTAGATAGGTAATTAATTACCAACATTATCCTACCACCTATACTATTGCTGAAGCAAATTTGGTATGCTGAGCTAGCTGCAGCTGATCTCGCCACCCCCACCAGCATTTCAAACTTTAATTATTATTATTATATATTACCGAACAATCAAATTCAATGACGTCATTATTAATTTCCTTCACATGCGCATAACAGTAGTAGTACAGTAGTTCTTCCGCTTCCGCACCGCACCGCACGGCTCTATCTATTTAAACCAGCCGCTACCCTCTGCGATCTCTTCACGCCTCCCAACCTGTATGTCTGTCTGTCTGTCTGTCTGTCTCCGTTTAGTTTTCTTTTCTCCGTCCCCGGCCCCGCCGCCACCCCTCTTTGTCTCCAGATGGCCATGAATGCTAAAACGACGACGTTGGCGGATTTTGATCCTCCGCTGAAACCAAAGAGGAACAAGTTCGCTTTCGTCTGTGCTACCATGGCTTCCATGACCTCCGTCCTACTTGGTTATGGTCAGTACCCCACCCCCCACCTCCTTATCGTCCCTCTACTTGTTTACTACTACGTTGTACGTTTTTCATTAAACCTTATTAAACATAGCATTGGCATACCAACAATTTATTTATTGGGAGTAATTAAATGGAGGTCACACTTCCATGTCCACGCCAGATCCACTTTCTTCTACTAATATATAATAATTTATGTAACACAATCTTCATGCAGCTACCTAGCTACTTGAAAGATGTAACCCGTAAATTACAGAATGTATGATTCAATCTGTTTGTAAGTGTCTCCTTAAAAAAAATTCCATTAAAAGGGTTTCGACTCCATGTCTCAAATTTTATTTCATCTTACCTTTTAATGATAAAGTTCACTGCTAAGTGTTAACTCTATGAATTGTTGAACAAACTTTCCAAAATGTTGATTGTTTAGAAACTAGGTTTTAATTTTTTTTTTTTAAATAATTGAGTAATTTATTTAAAAAAACAGAGATTCTTACTTCATATTAATTAATGATGTAAAAAAATCTTAGCAAAAAAGAATGCTAAACGAAAAATAATGTTCTTACATATCAATATTCAAAACCTCTACTTTTAGCACAAATAAGAAATTTCTAAACTTTTAAAATATAAAAAAAAATCGAAATTTAAATATATTTATTTTAAAACATATAAATTCTATGGGTTCATATTAGAAATTCTATTTTTTCAACCCTAATTATGTCGAAAAAGTGTTTGGTTAAACTATACAATATCAACATTTCTACCGAAAACAATTTCTGTCAAAATCCCAATCGATATTAAATTTTGGATATTAAATATTTGAACCACAATTTAATTACAAACTACCCCTAAATCATTAATTTAATTTGGATTCACAATTTTTCTCGGTGAAGAAAAGTGTGATAATTAGAGGCCCAACTCGTGATTCACATTGTTTGACGCTGGGGGTTGTGGGCCGGGTACTTAATAGCGGAGAAAAGCTCCACTCATCATCATCACATCAAACTTAAGAAGTTTTCACACTTTATTAAGTCCTGCCGACCTGCCCTGCCCTGCCGATCGAGATTAAGAAGCACTAATCAATAATATTTTATGTTCCCAATGATATCGCAACACCAAAAAACAAAAACAAATACAGATATTGGAGTGATGAGTGGGGCCGTAATCTACATCAAGGATCAGTTCAAAATCTCCGACGTCCAAGTTGAGCTCCTCGTCGGCCTTCTCAACATCTACTCCTTGATCGGCTCCGCCGCTGCAGGCAGAACCTCCGACTGGATCGGTCGCCGTTGGACCATCGTCATAGCCGCCACTATTTTCTTCGCCGGCGCTCTCCTCATGGGGTTCGCCACCAGCTACGCCTTCCTCATGGTCGGCCGTTTCGTCGCCGGCATTGGTGTCGGCTACGGCTGCATGATCGCCCCCGTCTACACCGCCGAGCTCGCCCCCGCCGCCTCCCGTGGTTTCCTCACTTCCTTCCCTGAGGTGTGTATATATAATCAATCAATTATATGTAATTATATAATCAATCATTCAACGAAATAAATAATATAATTAATCAATCACAATCGCTGGCTTTGTTTTTTGTTTTTTGTTTTTTTTTTATATCCCCTCTTTTTTCACACAATTAACTGTTTTATATTTTGAAAGGTTGCATATATAACGTGCCATTTCTTCTACGTAACTCCACATGTACAACTCAGATAAAATATTTTAATTGTTGTGATAGCACATATCCTAATTAATATTATCCTCCTTACTACACGTGTTGATGATGTTGGATTTAATTTGGCTGTGATGATCATCTCCTTTGGTGGGTGGAGTTTTTTTAAATATGATGAAACTTTCCTTATGATTAAAATAAAACGGTTCCGGGAATACACCTTTTATTAAGTTTCTCTCCGTCTGAGTTAACATGTTATTAAGTTTCTCTTGATCTAAGAATTATCTGGTCACTAACAAACACTGTTGGCACCACAGTTTGATCAGTATCAATTGATAAATCCTTTGGTTAATTCGGCTACATAGTACTGAGTCTGTCACCAATTTTTTGAAATGAGATGCATAACATGATTTTGTTTGACATAAACTTTGTAACACACTTTTTGTGACATGTATAGCATCTATTGTTTAATTGATTACTAGATTGGCCCAACTGGCGAACGAAACATTACTTTATGGATAGTTTCTATCCAAAAGTTACAAAATAACGCGTCAGATACAAGAATAATTGTACGTCTTAAACAGGGGCGGAGCCAGTGTACAATTGGGTGGGTCCTCGGACCCACCTTGACTCAGGAGATGGCAATATATTTATCGTATTTGGATATGAAAAATCGACAAATAAACAAATAGGTATAGATTCAAGACTTTCAAAATATAATCAAGAAATCAAAGTGATTTTCTTTCGTTCCTTGTATTGATTTGTCTAATTTAAATTTACTCACACTTTAAATTTAAACAATCATATTAATTAAATATTAATTGAATATAATAAATGGACCCACCTTAACTAATTTTCTAGCTACGCCCTGGTCTTAAAGGGTGACAATATATGTTTCACACCTAAATAAATCTTTCATTTCTAAAACTAAAGCCATAGACTGGATGTCCTCAAAACACAAAACTTTCTCCTGAATTAATCGATTTTTCAGTTCATAAATTTTTTAGGGTCGATCGATTGATTATTAAAAAAGTTGGTCCTGAATGATTTTTGTTTTATGTTTCACTTTCACCAGGTTTTCATTAATGTGGGGATTTTGTTAGGCTACGTGTCGAACTACGGATTCTCAAAGCTGGCGGCGAACATAGGGTGGAGATTCATGCTCGGAATCGGGGCGGTTCCGTCAATCTTGTTAGCTCTCAGCGTTCTAGCCATGCCAGAATCGCCACGTTGGTTGGTGATGCAAGGGCGACTCGCGGATGCTAGGCGCGTGCTGGAAAGAACTTGCAGCACTACCGAAGAAGCCCAGCTCCGACTAAATGAAATCAAGGATGCTGCTGGAATCCCGGGGAACTGCAACGACGATGTCGTCCGAGTAAACAAACGAAAAAACAATGGAGAAGGTGTGTGGAAGGAGCTTATAGTCCACCCGACGCGCCCCGTGCGTCACATCCTAATGTGCGCCCTGGGCATCCACTTCTTCCAACAGTGCGCTGGCCTAGACGCGGTCGTTTTGTATAGCCCCAGAATCTTCGAAAAGGCCGGACTCAACGGCAACAACGAGAAGCTCCTCGCCACGGTGGCCGTCGGGGTGGTGAAGACAACGTTCATCCTCGTAGCCACGTTCCTTCTGGATCGGGTGGGGAGGCGGCCTCTGCTCCTAGGTAGCTTTGCTGGGATGATTACGTCGCTAGCGACACTAGGGATGAGTCTGACGGTGATCGGGCAGGATCCGACTCGAAAGGTAAAGTGGGCGGTGGGGCTCTGCATATCGACGGTGCTCTCTACGGTGGCATTTTTTTCAATCGGTGCGGGACCCATCACGGGGGTGTACAGCACAGAGATTTTCCCGCTGCGGTTGCGGGCCCAGGGGCTTAGCATGGGGATTGCCACTAATCGGGTGGTGAGCGGCGTCATCTCCATGACCTTTTTGTCGCTTTACAAGGCAATCACTATTGGGGGTGCCTTCTTCTTGTTTGCTGGGATCTCTACCATTGGATTCTTCTTCTTCTACATGTTTTACCCCGAGACGCAAGGGAAAACGCTGGAGGAAATCGAAGGGCTTTTCGGGAGTTTTATTAATTGGAGGACTGCTAATTTGGATTTGAAGGCAGCTGCCCCTAGTGGGAACATGGAAAAAGACGACTATGATGACAAGGATAAGAACAACAATTACAAGAATGACAACATCCAGTTGGCAAGTAAAGACTAGGTTTCTTCATTACTAATTACATATATGGCGATAGTAATTCAAGTGTGTGAAATAAATATGGAAATGAAGAAGAAAAGAAAATAATAGGTGATTGTTAAGAATTGTTTGTGGCGGGTCCGATCAAAAAACAAACCGTCGGTTCGGTTGGACTAATATAGAGTTAGTCAATCGACCTGTCTATTCCTGCAATCTACCAAACTATCCTTTTGGAATATGGCATAGCTTTATGATTCTCGACCTTTGTTGTATCCGGTCATGTATCCTAAATAATAGTAATGGAAGTTTTTGAAATAGCGAGTGACGATCCTAACTAATACTGTTAAGTTCTAATATCAATAAAGGTATTGTAGCTTCCACTTTATGTCACTTGTATCTCTATGTTTTTATATGATAATTGTGTTCTAAAGTATTTTCTCAATTAACTTTACTCGTTAGTGTCTACGGAATCAGCGAATCCAGGACATAGTAGAGCACTAGACCGCATTTGAATAGAAAATTACATATCGTAAACAAATGTATATAATATTTATAATTTTCATTACAATGTCAATTGTGAAAAACAATCTTTTAGTTTAGAAAATTCATCAACAACGGAGTCTTAGTCCATGCTAAAAACATACTCTCCGAAGAAAATAGTTGAGCAATCAACGAGAAATTCATCGCCCTTTTGTTGCCCAAGTAAGTTTTCAAATGTTCCATTGCTGAAAAGGTTCTCTCGGTGGTAGCCTTGAAACTGGCAACGGAAGAAACCTCATTATCTAACTATGAACCACACGAGCGGGATAATATCGTAGCTCATTCATGAAATAATGCATCTCATGGCCATTAAAGTCTCGAGGATAAAATCTTCAGCAAATTTATAAATATAATCTCCAAAAAGAACTTTTAGGATCTAATGCACCTTATGTTTCAGTTATTTCTTATACTCTTTCATGGTAAGCTAAGTTATTTACGTTCAGACTTTACTTTAAGTGTGCATAGCTTCACAAAGCATCAACAAACTAAGTTTCAAGGCATTCAACTCTAAGCTGACTTGTGCAAGTTAATAAGTGGGATATTCCCATTGTGTGGGAGATCACCAAGCTTTTCAACTTTCAAGTATGCAAGCAAGTATGAATTAATTACATCTAGGGGTGTCCGTGCGGTCCGGGTTGGTTAATCGAACGCGAAACTCGAACTATGTGCTTTCTGCAAACCCGAAACTGCTGGACTTGGTTTTCGGTCGCTCGAACCCGGAAAATGTAGTATGTTTTTTTGTATGGCTACAATGAAACCCAAAAACTCGAAAAAGTGCACTGACAATATCTGGCATTGTCCATAGATCCTCCAAAAGAGATTTTTACTTGTTATTATGAACGAGGAATAGAAAATACGAAAGAAGTACTGCTCATTACAAATCTCTGCATCCAAAGAAACGAATCATAGATACAAATATACAATCAATCCTTTGCTCTCCCTCTTTGTCGTAGCTTCACTCTCCCCACACAATCCAATTCCCAATCAATTCTTCCCTACAAAAACCAAAGTTATCATTACACAAACACACCAAAATCCAACCCAATGAGAAAAGGAAGCTTGTCTGATATCTTCTCCGCTTTCAGATCAATAACAATTGCGGCCCGTAGAGAGAACACAATTAAGCTTTACCAGAGATAATTAAAAACAGTTTGTGAACTATTTCCAAAAAACTCAGAAACTCCCAAACAACTTACCCTACAACCCGTAAAATCCCCGCATACTTCCCTGCCAACTTAAGAAAAGCCCACAAAACTCCTTTCACAACCTCAACATTGGTCTACCAAACTTGGTTTTGACTTGTGACTCGCATGAAACTACACCACAATAAAATCCCAATTAGAGCCCAAGTTGTTAAACTCTAATCGGGTGCAGTATTGGGCAAGTATTTAGATATCGACCCGGGCCATTCCGTTTACTTCTGTTGTTGAAATCATTATCTAGCAAGAAAACTTTGGTTTAAAGGTTTGCTAATTCAAATAAAAGAAAGCAAAGGTGATTGGGTTTGAAAACTCTTTTGTGGGAAAGTCACTCGGGTGTCGCTTCCCCCTAACCGCTACCATGCTATGTGAATTGGAACGATGCCTTTGGGCACGATAATCGTGAACCACAGAGGGATGCATATGTGGTAGGAGACCACATCTCAATTGCTAAACCGAGGTAAGGATGAAAGGCCATGCCACTCGACCCTCTCAGTTTAGACAATCGGTAATTCGACTTACTCTCTCACTCAACTCAAAGGTCAGACGGTTTCGTCACGATTAATCGACTTGCTTATCTCAATATTGAGGGTCCCCCTAACTTAACCTAGATTAGGTGGCTAAGTTGGCGGAAGGAAAACCAACTTGATTGAGTCTACCTTGAAAGAGGGATTTTCCTCTCTAAACTAGGCTAAGGTGGCAAATTAGATTACTAGCACCTAAAAGCACAAACCTAGGGGTTCTAAGCACAATTATGCACAATCCTTAGGTTGCTAAGCACCTAAATGCACAAACCTAAGGATGATAAGGACAAAACATGCACAACCCCTAAGTTGCTAAGCACAAGCATGCATAATCATGGTGAATAATGCCTCAAACATTGAATTGAACAATACCCAATGACAATCATCCAAAACACATACAAGAAAACTACATGGTAGAGTTAGGGTTTCACTACACCCAAGTGAAAGGAGGTCTACTTCATGCTAGAAGTGGGAAGAACAAAAGGGAAAAAGGTGGAAACCATCTTGGAGGATGCTCCCAGTCTTCTTGACACTTGAGTTGAGCTTTCCTTGGGGGAAATCTTCCCAAAATCTGCCTTGAAGCCAAACCCTAACCTTCTCTTTCCCTTTGGTTCTGTTTCTCTCACTAAAATGCTAAAGAAGGTGTTTCACACAAAAGTGGGCTCTCCCTTCTCTCCTCCTTTCAGCTCATTTTTTAAACCCGAGATGAGCTAAGTTTATGGCCGAGAACCATCAAACGCGTCTGTGAACTCAAGGCGTGCGCCAAAACGCTCCGCATCGCTCACGTCTGTTTACTGTCAAGTGCCTATGTTCACGGTCTTAGTGACCGTGAACTCACCTTGCGTCCATAACCTTCACATTGGCTCTGGACGCCTCGCGATTCACGATCAACTCCCCTTCTTCACGGTCTTGCATGACCGTGAACCCCTTCAATTAGCCGTGAACTGGCTCTTTTTCACCTCTTCTCCCGCTTTACGATTCTTTTCGCCAATCTTTCGACTCCGAGGCTGGTTTCACCTGTTAAATCCTGAAACACACTCAAACACGAAGCACCTAGCGTAAAACCAAACTTTCAGGTGCGAATTTGGCACAAACATCTAAGGTAAACGGGGGCAAAACATGTGCAATTAGGCCCGAATCACTCCCCCACACTTAGACGTTTGCTTGTCCCCAAGCAAACCATTTCACGCACATGGTAATATTTCAACCTACACAAATACTTTGGGGACAACTCAAAGGGCACAAAGGGCGAATTCTCGATGTTTATTGACAATCAACACATGAATTGTTCTAAGCAATACCAACATCCACCACAAACGACATTCAAAGCCACCAAAATGGGCAAACGAAAAGTTCTCAACTTATTCATGGATAAATGCAAGTCTCAACAAAACCGCTTATCGACCACAACCAACCATGCATGGAATTCAAGTCCGAGGAACAAATGGAAAGGCAATGAAGGTCCTCACCGGGGTATGAAATGGTAAGTAAAACAAGAATGGATCACTCACTCTCAAGACCAGTGGGGTCGGGACCTTTTGGTGCAAAATATGTGCACAAATGTAACCTCTCGGCCCTATCGTCTCAATACCACGATGGTAACCTCTAAACGTTAGAGTTCACGGGATGTTTGTCACCACTAGCTCGTCCGGAGGTCTTAGGCACGGGTTCAGATGACTGGCGATTGGCTTGGACATGGGGAAAAGGCTTTTTGGCTGGTGGCAATTATGACGTGAGGTTCTACATCTTTAACCTAAACCCGAAAAGTCTATGGTTTCGACTAAAACCCTTCTCTTCAATCAAAGGCCACTATCATCGGTCAAAACCCTTATCTCTCCCTTCCAACTATCACCTATCATGAACTACCTTGAAGCACTCTTCCTCGATCAACTCTTGCTAGTTCTTTAAGGTTTGGCAGTGAAGGAGTTCTAAACAATGTGTGGGTTTCAATGGCTTGGGTGCCAAGAAACCCCTCATAGAGCATGTACTTTGGTTTTTCGTGGCACTCTCTACTTTATTTACCCCATTTTATTACCTCTTTTTCATTTCTCTTTTCTCTTCTTTTCTTTCTCTTTTTTTTTCTTTTTGAGGGGGGTATTAGAGTAAAAACACTTGCCACCTAAACATTTATCGACCAATGCTCTCTTTTTGAGGAACTAACTCCAACACTACACTCCATTTTGCATTCCTAGCAAGAACCACACACAAACCTCCTATGTAGAACCTCTATAGAAACTCAAAGGTGAGAGCTCCGGGACACACGGGCGACTCATGTTTAGACATGAAGAAAGGATCTGGGGGTCGTTCTACTAACACCTTTAAGCTCACACGAACGAAGCTCCTAAATTGAGAATGACCCACAGAGTCACAAGGCTCAAACGGGTTGACTACGGAATGATGCATTTCTGGATAATCAACGTTTGGGCGTGGATTCATCATATGCCTCCATCATACTTGCTAGTGACAACTGTGATGCTACATACTGTGGTAAGAGGGAACTATCACACCGGAAAAAAAGATCGGCTGAAAGCTCACAGGCTACCTAGTTACCCGACCATCTATTCCAATTCACAAACACGATGCATGGCAATTGTAAACAACAAGTGATAAAGTCAAGACATCCATTCATTTATGAACACTTGATAAAGGCAAAAGATGTGGCTAAGACTAAACCTAGGTGCAACGTGCTTGATCGGTCTGCCATGCAAGCACACGCTAGTAAGATTCGCTCGGCAATCTTGTTCGGATTGTGGTAAGCCGGGTAGAGTGAACGAGCCAGGAGTGCAACCATGACACGCCACTGGGGCTGGAGTGTGGATGCCGTTGTGAGGGCCGACTTGAACTTCGTCCTTCAGTACTTTGGAAGGCACATCTTCAGAAACGAGGCATTCACGTCAAAACTTTGGATGACATCTTCCTTCCCCTCATCCCCATGATTGGCTTCCACTCCAAGAACTCTGGCTAACTCGTCATAGCTCAAATTACGAGGTCCCCCCCCCCCCCTCCAATCGGAACTCAACCCGGCGGACCGGATGACCGAGTAGGCATAGGCTCTTGCTTATGGCAAAGGTGCTGAAATACTCGAAGCAAAGCTCCTCGTAAGTGTCATCTTCAAGATCAAGG